TGTCCATCTGCGCAGCGGTGTTACTGCACCACTCACAGCATGGTGCTGCAGCACTACTGGACCAACAGCTGCGTTGACGGCTGGAGGGCAAAAGTCCACATTAAACCTTCTCAAAGTGTTGAGTTCATTATTAGTGAAAGATAGAAGCCTAACAATGCACATAGTCTCTTACTCTTACTTTTTCCCACACCCTCTCCAGTTAGTAGCTCAAACTTCACTGTATTTTATCAGAATTGAATCTAATACATGATAGATATGACCACTTACAGGCCATAAGAAGTCAAACTAGTATTTTTCACCTTAAAGTGAGCCACAGCTGCCCCTTTGGCTATAGAGCTGCAGTATACTATACCCAGTGGCAAATTTGGGAAATTTGGGGCCCTAGGCAAGGACAGGCAGGAGGCCCTCTGCATTGAGAAGACAACACATAAAACAGACCCATTATACAGACACAGATTTTTTTATAGTATGGACATACATTATTTGTTCTATGTGTTATCCCTCTCTTCTTCTCCCCTTTCTTGTTGTTTTCCTTTACTGTATGTTTTGTACTCAGCTGACTTTTCATGCCGTCTCAAAAGGAATGAAAGATTTTTTTCTAATCACTAAGCACACTTAGCTGATTGCTCCTTCCTGTGTTTCCATAAAGGCAAAAGTAAATAACACACTCCTTCTTTTCACCGTAGACAAGCCATGATCTGCTTATCTGTTCTCCATTTTTTTATTTGTATGAAATAATAGCTGCATGAATCATGAGAGCAGACAACATAGAGGAGAGCAGGAGGCGGGGTTACCAATTTACTTGCTCTGGAGAGCAGATTTCGGTCTGCAGTAGTAGAAAGAAGTGACTAGATTTGGCACTAGGCGCTTTTTTGAAATAAAAGTACTAGAGCAGTCTGAAAAGTCGCTAAATATAGCGACAAAAGCGCTAAGTTGGCAACACTGCTCTTTGCACAGTTTGTTTTCAAATAGTTTGATGCTGTCTGTTTAGACCTTTTCTGAACATGTGCAGCAAATGGAATGATCCAATATGGTGGATACTGAGGGGGCGCTGAGACACACTTAATATTATAAGCGTTCTGATGGAATTTTAGCGAAAGGATTTTTATCAAAAACAGCATTAATGTGCACAAATAAGGAATAGTTCTATTAATTATACATGTAAACAGAGTTTTATGGGGCCCCCAGAAACTTGGGGCCCCTGGCGACTGCCTAGTATTGCCTAATGGTAAACCCCTGCCTATTCCAATATGGCTGAAGCTAAAAGCTAAATGAAAACACTTTCATTTTGAATTAAAGTTGAACTAAAACAGAAAAAATAAAAAAATGAAATTGATAACAGGTTCTGTAGGAGCAAATACCTGTAAGAGCAAATAATATGTATTTATTATATTTTATTTAATATTATGTCTTCAGATCGGAGGCCAAGAACATGAACCAGGGCTTGCTCCAAAGGTGCACTGGCCCCTGTTGGCCCCTGTCTAGAACCACCCATTCAAATGCACACCACACTTTTCAGATTTGAACTGATAACTGCATTTTTTTCTTTCTCCGATAGTTTGTCACATGACATTGGGACAAAATTATGCTGAGGGTCATATTGATGTGGGAAAACATATGACAATTTGCAGCTATAAGAACACTTTTGTAAGCCGATGAATCTGATGCTGTTGATGCTTCACACCATGTGTGCATGTGAGTTTAGCATGTGAGGAGGGTAGTTGGCCTGTGTATGTATTTGCTCTTGTCAGTGAATGAGTTGTCTGCAGTGTTGCATGCTGATTGAATCACGTCAACCATCTGCCTCCTGGTCCTTTAGATGAAGTCAAGCAACTCTTGACCCCGCAGATGCCCCTAAAATGACTTGTCTCTAATGTACAAACTGACAGTGACCTCTGCATTTTGGAGTTATCATAAGAAGGGAATCAGTTAATGGGAAACCATCTACAGAGCAAACATGGAGGGCTCTGTCTTTCATCTAAACTGGTTAATTCCACACCAACCCACAGCGTATAATGCAACAATTGTAGGGCTGCCGGCTCAGCTGCCAGATCCCAGAAACCAAAATCAAAGCCACACTTAGCGAAAGCCCAACCTCCAGTCGCTGCTCCCTAACCTAATTAACATTGAGTCAGCAGGCATGGCAGCAGCAGTGGTCGAGGTTGTGGTCAGGGCTGTGGGAGACAGGAATAGCAGAAGGAACGTTGACACACTGCATGACACACTGGGACCATGACAAAAGAATCACACACAGCCATGCAGGCGGCCCGGTTAGCAATGCCTGCTTCTTCCACTTCAACTGTTTAGCTTTTGTCTTTAAAAGTTGGCAAGGCTGAGGGTTAATGACTTTTTAATATGGAATGCAGGCGGTGGATAATATAAGCTAAACAGTCCTGATGATCTACTGAATCAGGAAGGTACAGTAACTGCACTGCTGAAACATCTGGAAGTCCTCTAGTTTTTATCTCTTAATGTTATTTAAATCTATCACTAAAAAACCATGAAGTTATAATTCAGCCACTTTTTTACTGTTGTATGTACCTTACCCTGGGGTATGGGTTTATACCAGATCACACACACAAACTTGTTTCACTGTCTTTGCAGGGGCTTTCCATTGACTTCCATTAATTTCTACATCCTATCCATTACCTTTACCTTTACCCTAACAGTTATGGGTTCATACCTAACCCTAACCTCAATTCACACCTTAGTCGTAAACATGATCCCTGACCCAAAAACAGCAATTTCCCACGTGGTGCCCCACAATGAGCAGCCGAACCCCACGACCTGCAATTTTTCCTGAAAATGGACCCACCAATATATTAAAACAAAAGCAAATGAAATTAAGCCTTATTATTTAGGTGTTTTAATTATTATTATTTGTTAAAGGGAATTTTAAAAATGCTTGAAAAAATATTTTTTTTATCACTCCCTTATATTTAATAAATACAAACTGCATGCAGCCTTCTGTGTTCAGGAGGTTTAGCTGGTGAATAGTCTAGTAATTTAATGGTTATAATTACAGCTTTTCATGAAGGTCTAAAAGGTTTGTAAAGAAATCAATCAATGAATTACATCATGAAGACTGATAAATTCAACAGATATATCAGAGGTTAAGTTGTGTGAATGTTTAGGGCAGGATAAGCTTAATAAACAATTTTCAAGGCTTTGAAGATTGCCTATGATTTAATTATTTATATTGAACCAATTTTCAATTCATGTGATCTCAAAGCACTATATAGAGACATTAACAGAATAATAATAAAAATTGAACTTTATCAATCTCACACTAGAGAAATTCACCTCTGCATTTAACCCATCCCCTTGGGGAGCAGTGGGCTGCCATTGTGCAGCGCCCGGGGAGCAGTGTGGGGTTAAGGGTCTTACTCAGGAACCCAGAGTGCAGGTTGTGGGCCTCGAACCGGGTATTTCCAACCTTCTCAGAGCACAAGCGCACTACTCTAACCACTATGCCTACATCAGATCACCTAGTCCGATTGGTTAAACGTTTTCTGTTTAAGGAACACAAACTGATAGCATCCATTAATTGACTTTGCAGAATTTGTACCTCCTGGACGAACATGTCGAGACAGCAGATATTGAATTGTGTCATTGACTCTGGAGCAATCCCTCACACCAAGCATGCATGCAGCAATAGTGGAGAGGAAAACACTCCCTTTTAATGAGTAGAAACCTCCAGCAGAACCTGGCTCTTTTAAAGTCAAGAGGATAATAGAGAGCACATACAGTTAGTCACAGGGAAAGCTGTAAACAGCCCCAACTCTAAAATCTATCACCGAAGGTGTTCATGGCAGCAGCCCAGCTATTTCCCTCCAGGATGGACTACAGCCAAATGTAAATAGACCAGATGAAGTTTCTATGATGAGAAAAAGCAGAAAAAAACATAAAGTTACAGCCTGAACTGTAAAAAAAAAAAAAAAAAAAAAAAAAGCAAAATTGGACAGTAGAAGTAGAATTTGCAGAGAGAGGAAAAGTGGTCCCTATATCATCCAGTATACTAAGCCAACAGCAGTATAACTATAGAGATAACTCAGGATAACCTGAGCTACTGTACTTATAAGCTTTATCATGGTGCCCGCCTCATTCAATAAAACTGGAAGTTGATTTAAAAGAAATGGAGCCCATTGCCCTTTGCTTCACTTTTATATATATATTATATATATATTTGATATATATATTGGAATAAGACCTTTAAAAATCTGCATTATCAATCTCTGCAGATAACTGCATTAAAGGGGAAATCCACTGTGTATTGACTTAAGATTGAATTGAATAGCATCACCTCTTATTTCAAATATAGTTTCATATTTGTCGCAGTTTAACAAAGGAGAACCAGTGATAACACTTTGCTTTCCTTCACTAAAACACCTCCAAACTTTGTTTCTATTTCTGATGGAAAAACACTGGCATCATGCTTCATCAGCTGACAGCTGTTCTTTTCTTCACCAACTGTGCTCTAAAACTCACATCCTCTGACATGAATGCACGGTTGGACTCTCAAATATCTGCCCCACAACAGGCCTGTTTTCTCATAGGGTTAGCGTGAACGGGAAGCTGTGCGTGCGCTACATATGACAAACCACATTACTGTCTGCTTAGCAGGCAAGCTTAGATAGGCCATCCCAGGGCCTGCAGCCAAAGCTGCTCCGCTGCTGAGTTACCATGCTTACTCAAATATTCATAACTGGATAATGAAAGTATAAATACACTTGCAGACAAAGTAAACAAAACATCAACTTTTGTCCTCTCCATTTGTCCCCCACTGTGATGGCTGACAGGAAGGTTTAATGCGCAACAATAAGCATTGTAATGAACTATCTCTTTTTCAAGTTTGTTTGGGTTTATTTTGTTATTTACACACACTGTGAATAACAGCTGTCAGTCTTAGCATCTACAGTCAGCGTGGGAAGCTATTGAACATCTTTTTTTAATAATTCATAAATGATCAAACATTGTTCTTGTTTCCTTCTCCTCCAGAGGGGAGCTGCCTTCGGCACACGCCCGCTCCTGAGTCTTCTCCTGTACCATGAGCTCTGGCTCTGCCCAGGATGTGGCAGTCGAGCATTTCTTGCGTGACATAGAGAGGCGAAGCAAGCGGCTACACTGCGCTGTGATAGGCTGCGAGGAGGAGCAATCCTGCAGCGACATGAACCTGCTGTACCGCAAGAGTCGCTTGGACTGGAGGCAGAGAGAGCAAGAGGGAAGTAAGAAGAGGTGAGTGGACGAGGAGAGCTGCATGTAAGGGATTACAGCTAGGCTCAGCTGGAGGAAACTTAAACCTCTTAGTTGGTGTGAAAGAGTTTAAATTCAAAATCCTTATTCGACGTGCAGTTCATAAAGTCAAAGGAGGTTCGTACGAATGCACAAAGAGAAGTTAATATGTTCTGTATGTGAGAATATGAGGGCTGAATGAGCATAAACCAATAAAAAGGAGAATCTAAAGCTATTTTATAAAACTAGATATGAAATAGATTTTGGCAAAAACATAGATTTCACACTTGTTGTCACACGACTTACACACCCTTGAATTTGACTAACCTCTTTCAAAAAAGCACATGATCTCTACTACTGAGGAGAAAAGGAGCACATAGATAATCTCTGCTGTCTCCTTTGTGAATAGGTCTGTAGTTTTAAAAAGGAGGTAGTCCAAACAAAAACAGTGTAACAGTGGTCAAAGGAAGCAGTTAAGCATGCGGAGAACAGTTGGGATGCATTGACTTTTCTCTGTTTATTCATTTAGATCCACTGCGAGATTCCCTCACAGGTGTGTGGTCACAGAAACATTTGGGAGCAGTCATCTATTCCTGCTTCTAATGTGAAAGATTATCCTTTAGCCGTGGATGGAAACGTGATTTACGATAATGAAATGCACATTTAAAAAAAGGGTCATGCTGAGAGGGAAAGAGGCTGAAAGATGTTAGAAAAGCCAACTTTGAACACTCCCCCCTACTGGCATTGTGTTAGAAACAACAGATGGAAGTGTGAATCAAGTTCAAATCCTCATCAGCCCATTAACTATGCAAATATATGGAAAAAAATTCACAACTAATTCAATTTAAAATAGAAGAATTTACAAGGTCACAGATAATTATTGTTAAAAACTTAGTAGCGAAACAAAGCTAAAATTAAATCTCTTCTGTATAGTTGGTTGAAAACCATAAATCATAGGGAAATTCACATTTCGGCATGAGTTTTGTGTTTGAGAACCAAATTTTATGTTGAAGAGTTTAATGTTAAGATAATTCAGCTTTTACCAATCACAACTAAGTTGAATGTGTTCGAATCATTAACCACTACAAGTCCAAAATTTTGATTAAGTATCATTCAGGTAAAATGACATTTATTTAAAATTATTTGCCTAATCAGAAATCAAAAACCATTTAGATATTTGATTCTAAGAAATAAATAATTCTATGTCATTTTCCTGAAATAATAATAAGTAGTATATCTATTGATGCTAGGGGTACTGGGGGGGCTGAGTGAGACCTCACTGCTGTAGGATCTGTGAGGCCGTCATGGAAGGAGCTGCTTTCATCCAGTCTCTGGTTCCAGGCCTTTCCGGCAAAACTCACAGGCTTTTAAAACAGGCTCCAGAGGGGAACCATTATCCCTCTGCCAAAAAGCAGGTCCTCTAAGGACATTTATGATTTTGGACGTCTGGCTCTGACTTCTCTAGTGACAATAGCTTTGAAAAAACAACTGATTACAGTTTGTCTGCAGGCATGATAGAACATTTTAAGATGCAGTCTTAACACCTCTTACCTTAATTCATGTAATTACTGATGACCTCTGTTCCTTTGCACTGGTTGCTGGTTTTAGATTTTTCTTTTCTTTCCTATCTGATATGATCCAGCCACATTTTATGGTTTAAAGATGACACAGTTATTGACAGCCTGTTACAGGAAGATGATGACTCACCTGGTCAGGTGGTGGAGGATTTAATTATGTGCTTTCATAACTCCTACTCCAAACTTACACTGTCACCAACAGGAAAGACTCGTCTGTATGATTTTGGAAAAAGGCCAGCCTACCACCTTAAGTTCTCAAAAAAAATTTAGGATATATGATTTGCATTCCAGTTTGGTGTAAAATGTTAATGAGCCTTTCGTAAAGTTTTATCAGAATCTGTTTTGACTTTCCTTAAATCACCTGGCTCAGAAAAAGATAATAAAATAATACATAATAATAAATACATTTCCTTTCCTGTTTTTATCCAATTCATGGAAAATTTGAGTCTAGGAAGAGATTTAGATTGGCCAAATGAAGGACGAACTGAGGGAAAATATACTTTATGTAAAAATTTGTTCAGTTTTAAAATGTGATTGGGTATGGTTAACATTTTAATTGTTTTTTAACCAGCTGACCTGCAAGATATTTTTGCCTTCGGGGCCAAATGAAAGTAAAAATTAACCAATTCCTTTTTTCTTGTCTGGTTAATTAGTAGAGTAAAACATAGTCAGAGTGAAGGAGAAAGGTAAATAAATATATGTGGCTCCATGTATTTATCTATAAAATAAAATCCTAGTGAAAAATGTTGATATTTATGTTGGTGCCAAAATTTGAAAATTTTATGTGTTATGGTCCATTTACCAAGACACTCTTTACTTTAAGTGGAAAGCCTGAGAAGCCTTTTGTTTATCAAGAGACAGGATATCTACGGAGTAAGATAATTGTCACTAAAAACATTTGCATAGGTGACTAAATTTGTATATGTATGTCAATGAATGTGATTAGATTTGAGATTTCCCAAAACTATAACAATTAATCAAAAGTCTACAAGAACAAATAACACATTTACAATTATGTTCAAATTTTAGTGGAATAAATTATTTTTTTTTACGAGAATTAATCACAAATTTAGGACAAAAAATCACAAATGTACACAAATCCACCGCTCCTGACTAACCTGTTTCACTTCTTATCAGCTGGTGGCTGTAAAAGCCCCTGAAAGTTCTTCAGCATTCAACATTAAACAACAAGAAAAGGAAGTTATAGAAAAAAGAACCATCGACTGAACAATCTAACTTTTCCAAGATGTTGTTTTCGAGATATGTGAAGAATAATGTTCAGTTGATGGTTCTGTTTTTTCTTCTTCCATTTCTTCTCGCTTAAAGACATTTGCAAACATCTTTCAGGGGAGATTACTGCTACATACTGGTAGGGAGTGAAACAGCTTCATCAGTGGTTGTTGATTTGCCCTTGTAAATTTCTAAAATGTACTCGTACATTTTTGATTTGTACTTGATTTTTACTGCTGCACTTTAAGAAATCGAATGTCATGAGAGCTGTACTGAACGAAATTTGTTCTGTATACAAAATTACAATAAAAGTTGTCTAAGTCTAAGAGTTAATGACAACAAACAAATACAAATTGCAAATATACTTCGATTTATTGAGTTATATATTCAAACACCTATGTAATCATTTATATTGACAGTTATCTTACCCCAAAGATGCAGATTAGTTTACCTTTAGAAACATTTTGTTCTAGACTTTTATGTATGGATTTTCATAGTCAACTTAAGCTACTAAAACACCAACAAACACTCAGTGGCATAAACAAACAAGTGTCCTGCAGAGGGTGTTGACAACACTCTGTCATCACACTCACATGACAGTTTGCACATGACAGTAATGTGGTGAAAACCAAACGCTTCACAGCGAGTGAGTGTATCTTGTTTATCCGAGCATCAGAGGAGAGATGTGACGTTGAGCTGTGAGTCACCTACAGCCCAGCAAAACATGCACTGTGTTCCTGGCTGTTTGTGGAGGGGAATGCAGAAGTTCCAGCGAGTGCTTTCTGACTCTGAATGGTAAGGCAGCGGTCCACATGTTAGCAGCACAGATCAATGTCATTGCTGGATCTGGGGTCGGCTGAGTTGCAGTGCAGCAAGTGGGACAGTCTCGACACGATGAACAGCTAAAGCAAAGCTGTGTGGGAGGCTTCAGGGACAGAAAGTGGGAAGTGGAATGCAGCGTGCGTGGAAGGACCAATGACTAGAGAATAGACTGGAACGGAGATCTGTAGGGCCTTTGGAGAGAAATCACATTCAGCAGGAGAGAGCTGCAGGATGGTAAAAAGGTGAGTTTCAGTGTGAGTTTTAAAAATAGAGTCAATTTCTTATGGCGCTAATACAGGCAGACAGACTATTCCCAATAGAGACAACTGGTGGGAGAAAACCTCGCTATCAGCCAAAGCTTTATTAATCCCAGCACAGAAATATGAGCAAGAGTAGCACATTTCTTTTCACTTTAAACCTTTTTAAGCAGACAACTGGGCAGGTAAGGATGAATTACAGATACTTCAGGTACCTAAATAAAATAAAAAAAACACTGTTACATCAGTTAGCAATCAGAAAAATAATAATATTTATCTGAATAAAAAAATAAAGTTCAGTTAAAGTTGATTTATTTTGATGGTTTTAACGAATTCCTCTCCTCGTGGTAATTCATTCATGACTAAGCATATTTATCTTGGCTTTTTTGTGGCCTCTGGATATTTAATGGTCACATGCTGCCAAACATTCACCAGCAGCATCAAAGGGACCAGAAGGTAGGAGTTATACTCTTGGTAAAACCAGCATAGTACTGACAAGGAAAAGAGATGGAAATAGATTATCAACCCATTACTTAAGGGCAAACAAGCATGTACTGTGTCAGTGGGTCTCGGAGAATAAGGACAGCTCCAGATTGAGATGTTGGTGTTTAACCTCAGCATTTGACAAGAGTTGACATAACTGGACCAGTTTGACCTTAAACCAGATTGGATATTCTCAGTCACGCTTTTTTTCTTTTCTTTATTGTATTTAGCTGGTTAAACACACTCAAAATCTGGCCTAGAAAAATGAGTTAAAAATGAAACGTTAGCTGCTACTGGCAGAATGTTTTTTTTGTTTTGTTTTTTCCAAAGATGCGATTTCTCTAAAATCATTAAAGCTTTTGTAAAGTTGACAATATTCTGAATATCTGAATATAATAAATCAAGATTAAAGGTGACAGCAGAAGCCTGTTGGTTTGGCTAAGACAGGGCTCTGCAGACTGTGGCTCTGGATAACTTCAATCATTTTAAATATGAAGGTCATAAAAAGCTACTTTCAGTAGTTTCTCTCCAATAACTGCAGGAGGAAGTTCACCAAAGAACAGGCTTTTATTTGTAAAGTTATTTATTTCATAATTTTGGGGACCAAAAATTAGAAATCCACACACAGATGTCT